TCGCTTAGCTTCGCATCGCTTCGCTTCCCTTAGCTTTGGTTCACTTCCCTTAGCTTCGCTTAGCTTCGCTTCGCTTAGCTTCGCTTCGCTTCGCTTCGCTTCGCTTAGCTTCGCTTGGCTTCGCTTTGCTTTACTTCGCTTAGCTTTGCTTCGCTTCTCTTCTCTTCGCTTCGCTTCCCTTAGTTTCGCTTAGCTTCGCCTTGCTTCGCTTTGCTTCTCTTAGCTTCGCTAAGCTTCGCTTTGCTTCGCTTAGCTTTGCTTCGCTTCTCTTTGCTTCTCTTAGCTTCGCTTCGCCTAGCTTCGCCTATCTTTGCTTAGCTTCGATTAGCTTCGCTTCGCTTAGTTTCGCTTCACTTAGCTTCGCTTAGCTTCTCTTTGCTTCGCTTCGCTTAGCTTCGCTTTGCTTAGCTTCGCTTAGCTTTGCTTTGCTTCACATCGCTTAGCTTTGCTTCGCTTCTCTTTTCTTCGCTTCGCTTCCCTTAGCTTCGCTTAGCTTTGCTTTGCTTCACTTCGCTTAGCTTTGCTTCGCTTCTCTTTTCTTCGCTTCGCTTCCTTAGCTTCGCTTAGCTTCGCCTTGCTTCACTTTGCTTTCTCTTAGCTTCGCTAAGCTTCGCTTTGCTTCGCTTAGCTTTGCTTCGCTTCTCTTTGCTTTTCTTTGCTTCGCTTCGCCTAGCTTCGCCTAGCTTCGCTTAGCTTCTCTTAGCTTCGCTTCGCTTCTCTTAGCTTCGCTTCGCTTCGCTTTGCTTTGCTTTGCTTCGCTTCGCTTAGCTTTGCTTCGTTTCACTATGCTTCGCTTAGCTTCACTTCGCTTCGCTTAGCTTCGCTTAGCTTCGATTTGCTTCCCTTAGCTTCGGTTCGCTTCCCTTAGCTTCGCTTAGCTTCGCTTAGCTTCGCTTCGCTTCGCATACTTGCGCTTAGCTTCGCTTTGATTCTCTTAGCTTCGCTTCTCTTCGCTTCGCTTCTCTATGCTTCTCTTCGCTTCGCTTCGCTTCTCTATGCTTCTCTTCGCTTCGCTTCGCTTTACTTTGCTTCGCTTCGCTTCGCTTCGCTTCTCTTCGCTTTGCTTCGCTTCGCTTAGCTTTGCTTCGCTTCGCTTAGCTTTGCTTTGCTTCGCTTCCCTTTGCTTTGCTTCACTTTGCATAGCTGCGCTTAGCTTTGGTTCGCTTCTCTTCGCTTCTCTTCGCTTTGCTTCGCTTCCCTTAGCTTCGCTTAGCTTCGCCTTGCTTCGCTTAGCTTCGCCTCGTTTCTCTTAGCTTCGCTTAGCTTCGCTTCGCTTCTCTTCGCTTCTCTTCGCTTCGCTTCACTTAGCTTCGCAAAGCTTCACTTAGCTTCGCTTTGCTTCGCTTCGCTTAGCTTCGCTTCGCTTCACTTCGCTTAGCTTCGCTTCCCTTCTCTTAGCTTTGCTTAGCTTTGCTTCGCTTAGCTTCGCTTTGCCTTTCTTCGCTTCTCTTTGCTTCGCCTCGCTTAGCTTCGCTTCGCTTAGCTTCGCCTCGCTTCGCTTCTCTTAGCTTCGCTTAGCTACGCTTCGTTTAGCTTCGCTTTGCCTCTCTTCGCTTCTCTTCGCTTCGCTTCGCTTAGCTTCGCTTCGCTTCGCTTCGCTTAGCTTCGCTTCGTTTCGCTTCGCTTAGCTTCGCTCCGCTTCTCTTCGCTTTGCTTCTCTTAGCTTCGCTTAGCTACACTTCATTTAGCTTCGCTTTGCCTCTCTTCGCTTCTCTTCGCTTCGCTTCGCTTAGCTTCGCTTAGCTTCGCTTAGCTTTGCTTCGCTTTGCTTAGCTTCGCTTCGCTTCGCTTCACTTCGCTTAGTTTCGCTTCGCTTTCGCTTAGCTTCGCTTTGCTTAGCTTCGCTTTGCTTCGCTTAACTTCGCTTTGCTTCACTTAGCTTCTCTTTGCTTAGCTTTGCTTCTCTTCGCTTCGATTAGCTTCGCTTGGCTTTGCTTCGCTTCGCTTCGCTTTGCCTCGCTTAGCTTCGCTTAGATTCGCTTGGCTTTGCTTCGATTCGCTTAGCTTTGCTTCGCTCCGCTTAGCTTCGCTTAGCTTCGCTTCGCTTAGCTTCGATTCGCTTCCCTTAGCTTCACTTCGCTTCGCTTTGCTTAGCTTAGCTTTGCTTAGCTTCGCTTCGCTTAGCTTCGCTTAGCTTCGCTTAGCTTCGCTTCGCTTGGCATAGCTGCGCTTTGCTTCGTTTTGCTTCTCTTAGTTTGGCTTCTCTTTGCTACGCTTCTCTTTACTTCTCTTCGCTTCGCTTCGCTGAGCTTCGCTTTGCTTCGCTTAGCTTTGCTTAGATTCGCTTAGCTTCCCTTCGCTTCGCTTAGCTTCTCTTCACTTTGCTTCGCTTAGCTTTGCTTCGCTTTGCTTAGCTTCGCTTAGCTTCATGTTCGCTTCACTTATCTTCGCTTCGATTAGCTTCGCTTCGCTTCGCTTAGCTTCCTGTTCGCTTCGCTTAGCCTCGCTTTGCTTAGCTTGGCTTCGCTTCGCTTAGCTTCACTTTGCTTCGCTTAGCTTCTCTTAGCTTCGCTTTGCATTGCCTAGCTTCGCCTAGCTTTGCTTAGCTTTGCTTCGCTTCGCTTCGCTAAGCTTTGCTTCGTTTCACTTTGCTTCGCTTCGCTTCGCTTAGCTTCGCTTCGCTTCGCTTAGCTTCGCTTCGCTTCGCTTAGCTGCGCTTAGCTTCGCTTAGCTTCACTTCGCTTCGCTTAGCTTCGCTTAGCTTCGCTTAGCTTCGCTTAGCTTTGCTTAGCTTCGCTTAGCTTTGCTTAGCTTCGCTTAGCTTCGCTTTGCTTAGCTTCGCTTAGATTTGCTTAGCTTCGCTTAGCTTCGTTTAGCTTCGCTTTGCCTCTCTTCGCTTCTCTTCAGTTTGCTTCGCTTAGCTTCGCTTAGCTTCGCTTTGCTTCCCTTAGCTTCGGTTCGCTTCCCTTAGCTTCGCTTCGCTTCGCTTCACTTCGCTTAGCTTCGCTTAGCTTCGCTTCGCTTCGCATACCTGCGCTCAGCTTCGCTTTGCTTCTCTTAGCTTCGCTTCTTTTCGCTTTGCTCTCTATGCTTCTCTTCGCTTCGCTTCGCTTAGCTTCCCTTCGCTTCTCTTCGCTTCTCTTCGCTTCGCTTAGCTTCGCTTTGCTTCGCTTCGCTTCACTTCGCTTTGTTTCGTTTCGCTTCGCTTCTCTTAGCTTCGCTTAGCTTCGCTTCGCTTAGCTTCGCTTTGCCTCTCTTTGCTTCTCTTTGCTTAGCTTCGCTTAGCTTGGCTTAGCTTCGCTTCGCCTCACTTCGCTTAGCTTCGCTTCGCTTCAATTCTCTTAGCTTTGCTTAGCTACGCTTCGCTTTGCCTCTCTTCGCTTCTCTTCGCTTAGCTTCGCTTAGCTTCGCCTAGCTTCGCTTAGCTTCGCTTCGCTTCCCTTAGCTTCGGTTCGCTACCCTTAGCTTCGCTTCGCTTCGCTTCCCATACCTGCGCTTAGCTTTGCTTTGCTTTTCTTAGCTTCGCTTCTTTTCGCTTCGCTTCTCTATGCTTCTCTCCGCTTTCCTTCGCTTAGCTTCGCTTCGCTTCACTTTGCTTCGCTTTGCTTCGCTTCGCTTCACTTCTCTAAGCTTCGCTTAGCTTCGCTTTGCCTGTCTTCGCTTCTCTTCGGTTCGCTTCGCTTAGCATCGCTTAGCTTCGCTTAGCTTCGCTTCGCTTCGCTTAGCTTCGCTTAGCTTCGCTTAACTCCACTTTGCTTCGCTTAGCTTCGCTTTGCATAGCTTCGCTTAGCTTCGCTTCGCTTTGCTTAGCTTCGTTTAGCTTCGCTTGGCTTTGCTTCGCTTCTCTTCGCTAAGCTTCGCTTAGCTTCGCTTGGCTTCGCTTCGCTTCTCTTCGCTTCGCTTCGCTTAGCATCGCTTAGCTTTGCTTCGCTTTGCTTAGCTTCGCTTAGCTTCGCTTAGCTTCGCTTTGCTTCGCTTAGCTACGCTAAACTTCGCTTTGCTTTGCTTAGCTTCGCTTTGCTTAGCTTCGCTTCGCTTCGCTTAGCTTCGAATAGCTTCGCTTGGCTTTGCTTCGCTTCGCTTCGCTTGGCTTCGCTTGGCTTCTCTTCGCTACTCTTCGCTTAGCTTCGCTTAGCTTCGCTTAACTTCGCGTTGCTTCACTTAGCTTCGCTATGCTTAGCTTCGCTTCGCTTCGCTTAGCTTTGCTTAGCTTCGTTTAGCTTCGCTTGGCTTTGCTTCGCTTCTCTTCGCTTAGCTTCGCTTAGCTTTGCTTAGCTTTGTTAGGATTAAGGACGGAGTCTAGGTGAACTTAGGAGCTAGAATTACTCAAAATATAAATCCGAAATTCTGGACAGAAAAGTCGTCCTCACAAGAAACGACGTCGACAAAAATCTAGCCGTTGGAATGTCGCGAAACTTGGATATGTTGTAGCTCTTAAGCTCAGCTACCGTTCCCAATTCGAACCACGTTGATTAATGAAGTATTCGCGACGCTATGGCTTTCGACGCACTAGGGGGTAAGCTGTAGGAGGAGAACTTAACTCAATCTCAAAAGTTTAATCAAAGTTCAAGAATCTCACAAGGAATTAGAGGAGCAAGAGAAAGGTTGGGATAGAAAGAGAGGGATGAGAGGGAAGGTCCCAAGAGAGTCCCCAACCAAGGAAACCCCATTATCACAAAGATTCCCCCCCTATAGGAACCCCAACTTTGACATTTGTCCCTTCCCAACCAATCCATCCAAGTTGGCCACCCTTGCCAACCTAGCTTGGTTGTTCCCAACCAATTTGCAGCTGTTACAGTAGAGTGACAAATTTCCCCAACCCCAAAGGTCCCAACTCCATATAAAGTCACCCCACAACTTCACTTTGTAACCGCCGCAATTGTAACGCAAGCTCATGAACTTTGAATCTTCATAGCTTTCGCGTTCTTGCTCCGATTGAAGCGATTCTTGTTGCGTCGGAAAGATCTTCTCAAGATCTATCATCACAAATACCGGCTCAGACAGAATAACACAAAACACATTCCCAAACTCCAGAACACACCACACACAAATTCTTTCACACAGAGTCAAACCATACATACGAATTGAAACAAGAGATGGGAGGCAGACAGAATGTGATAGCATATGATGACATCACACAACAATCTCCCTCTCTGGCTGCCAACCATCATCCACCATACCAACATCTCAAGCATGCATACTCAATGCACACTCATCCCAGCAAGCTTCATGCCCTTCCAATGATCCGCCTCCGCGAGACGCTTAGTGAAAATATCTGCTGCCTGCTGATGGGTCTTCACTATCTCTAGCCGCACCTCCTTATCAAGGATTCTCCTCACCCAATGCCACTTAGGCCTTATGACTTTTGTTAGCCCATGCAGACAAGCATTCTTGGCTAGCTTCACTGCAGACTCATTGTTACAGAACACAACTGTCGGCTCCTCCTGACCAACTCCCAACTCCTCCAACAAGCGCCTCAGCCACACCACTTCCTTGACCCAATGGTGTAAGGCCATGTACTCAGTCTCACATGAGGACAATCCCACCTCATTCTGCTTCTTGCTGCGCCAGCTCACAGCACCACCTCCTAGCAAGCACACATAACCCCCAATGCTGGTGCCATCCGCTTTCACTGAGTTGAAGCTAGCGTCAGTATAGCAACTCAAGAGCATCTCTCCACTCTTCACATCTGCAGCACCTCTCTGCAACCGCTGCCTCACTCCACTGTACTCCAATCCCACTGATGCCGTAGCACTCACATAGCGGACCAACCTCTTGGCCGCTTCCAGCTGCTCATGACTAGGGCGTGAGACCACACTAGCCAACCGTGATGTAGCAAATGCAATGTCAGGCCGTGTATGATTTGCAGCATAGTTCAGTGACCCAACCATCGAATGAGACAGCTTCCTGTCACTCTCACCCACTACCTCTGTTAGAATTAAGGACAGAGTCTAGGTGAACTTAGGAGCTAGAATTACTCAAAATATAAATCCGAAATTCTGGACAGAAAAGTCGTCTTCACAAGAAACGACGTCGACAAAACACTAGCCGTTGGAATGTCGCGAAACTTGGATATGTTGTAGCTCTTGATCTCAGCTACCGTTCCCAATTTGAATCACGTTGATTGATGAAGTATTCGCGACGCTATGGCTTTCGACGCACTAGGGGGTAAGCTGTAGGAGGAGAACTTAACTCAATCTCAAGAGGTTCAATCAAAGTTCAAGAATCTCACAAGGAATTAGAAGGAGCAAGAGAAAGGTTGGGATAGGAAGAGAGGGATGAGAGGGAAGGTCCCAAGAGAGTCCCCAACCAAGGAAAACCCCATAAGCACAAAGATTCCCTCCCTATAGGAACCCCAACTTTGACATTTGTCCCTTCCCAACCAATCCATCCAAGTTGGCCACCCTTGCCAACCTAGCTTGGTTGTTCCCAACCAATTTGCAGCTGTTACAGTAGAGTGACAAGTTTCCCCAACCCCAAAGGTCCCAACTCCATATAAAGTCACCCCACAACTTCACTTAGTAACCGCCGCAATTGTAACGCAAGCTCATGAACTTTGAATCTTCATAGCTTTCGCGTTCTTGCTCCGATTGAAGCGATTCTTGTTGCGTCGGAAAGATCTTCTCAAGATCTATTATCACAAATACCTGCTCAGACAGAATAACACAAAACACATTCCCAAACTCCAGAACACACCACACACAAATGCTTGCACATTCAAACCACACATGCAAGTTGAAAAAACATGGGATGGGAGGCAGACAGAATGTGATAGCATATGATGACATCACACAACAATCTCCCCCTCTGGCTGCCAACCATCATCGACCATACCACATCTCAAGCATGCATACTCAATGCACACTCATCCCAGCAAGCTTCATGCCCTTCCAATGATCCGCCTCCGCCAGACGCTTAGTGAAAATATCTGCTGCCTGCTGATGGGTCTTCACTATCTCCAGCCGCACCTCCTTATCAAGGAGTCTCCTCACCCAATGCCACTTAGGCCTTATGTGTTTTGTCAGCCCATGCAGACAAGCATTCTTGGCGAGCTTCACAGCGGACTCATTGTCACAAAACACAACTGTCGGCTTCTCCTGACCAACTCCCAACTCCTCCAACAAACGCCTCAGCCATACCACTTCCTTGGCCCCATGGTGTAAGGCCATGTACTCAGTCTCACATGAAGACAATCCCACCTCATTTTGCTTCTTGCTGCGCCAGCTCACAGCACCACCTCCTAGCAAGCACACATAACCCCCAATGCTGGTGCCATCCGCTTTCACTGAGTTGAAGCTAGCGTCAGTATAGCAACTCAAGAGCATCTCTCCACTCTTCACATCTGCAGCACCTCTCTGCAACCGCTGCCTCACTCCACTGTACTCCAATCCCACTGATGCCGTAGCACTCACATAGCGGACCAACCTCTTGGCCGCTTCCAGCTGCTCATGACTAGGGCGTGAGACCACACTAGCCAACCGTGATGTAGCAAATGCAATGTCAGGCCGTGTATGATTTGCAGCATAATTCAGCGACCCAACCATCGAATGAAACAGCTTCCTGTCACTATCACCCACTACCTCCTCATCAGCACATGGCTCCACAGTGAACCCCGAAGGTAGTGGTGTTGCTGGCTTTCCCCCATCTTGCAGCCCATACTTCTCAGCCAGCCCCTCACAGTACTTCCTCTGGTGCAACCTCAGCACACCCTTTTCCACATCTCTCTCCACGTGCATCCCCAAGTAGTACTTCACCTCACCCATCTTGGAGCACTTGAACTGCATCTCCAGCATCTGCTCTGCGCTGTCCAGCAAAGCAGTGGATGCAGAAAAGAGAAGGATATCATCCACATACACCAAGAGCATGAGGATTTCATCCTTCTCCTGCAGCAGGAACAGGCTGGGGTCACACTCACTCTTCTTGAAACCCCCAGCCAACAGCGCCTCCTCCAACTTGTGATACCATGCACGAGGCGCCTGCTTAAGGCCATAGATGGCCTTCTTCAGCCTGCAGACCCTGCCGCTCCCGTCATCCAGCCCCTCTGGCTGCTTCATGTACACCTCCTCCATAATGATCCCATTCAGAAAGGCAGTCACAATATCCATCTGCCGAATCTTCCATCCCAGGAGTGCAGCTATCGCCAACAGCACCCTCAGTGTTGTTCCTTTCCCCACAGGAGCAAACACCTCATCATAGTCCTTCCCCTTTGTCTGCTGAAACCCCCGTGCCACAAGCCTAGACTTGTAGCGGGTCAGCTCCCCTTCAGGTCCATACTTGTGCCTGTAGATCATCTTGGAAGTGATTGCCTTCTTTCCAGGAGGCAAGTCACACAGGTCCCATGTCTCGTTCTCAATTAGGGACCCGAACTCCTCATCCTCACTCGCCTTCCACTTCTCCCCATTTGGTCCATTCAAGGCCTCTTCTCGAGTCTTGGGCTCAGGGATTGGTGCCCAGTAGCAGTGAGCGATCTCATCTTCCTCAATCTGCTCAACCACACTCCCAGCCTGCACCACATTCGGCTTGCCTCTTCCCCCATAGGTCAGCCTCACTGGAGGGCGCACATCCCTCCTAGGACGCTCAGGCGGGTGTGGAACTCGAGGTGGAGACTCATGCTGCTGCTGCTGCTGCTGCTCTACTTCAGCTGCTCCCCCTTCCTCAGTCACCCCAGACATCTCCTCCTCTGACACTGCAACCTCCACCTGTCTTGAAGGCTGCTGCACCTCATCTGCCTCCACAATGAGCGGTGTAGATGGAAGCTTCTGTTGCTGCTGCTTCCATTCCTTGTAGTACAGGGACTCAAGAAACTTCACATCCCTTGACACTGTCAACTTCTGGGTGGTCAGGTCCCATAGCAGCCACCCCTTGTGATCCTTTGCAATCCCCAAGTGCACACCCCATCTTCCAGAAGCCTCCAACTTCCCCCTTTTCTCCTTGGCACATGAAACACCACCATGCACCCAAATGCCCTCAGCATGTTCACCGCTGGAGCACTCCCATACCACTTGGCATATGGGATCCACTCCTTATCTCCAACTGTAGCCAGCACCCTATTCTTCACAAGGGCGACCTGCCTCAGTGCAGACACCCAAAACGGATCAGGCAGCCCTGCACGCCCAAGGAGAGTGCGTGCCCCCTCCTGCAGGGTCCTGTTGAACCTCTCAGCCACGCCATTCTGCTGCGGGTTGTAGGGCACTGTCAGTTGATGCTGGATCCCCTTCCTCTTCAACTCCCCCTCAAAATCAGCTCCAATGAACTCCCCACCATTGTCACTGCGGATCACCTTCACCTTGTGTCCGCATTCCCTCTGAGCTCTAGGCATCCACTCCTTAAGGACAGCCGCTGCCACCTCCCCCTTGCTCTTCAAAGGGTAAACCCACACTGCCCGAGTGTGGTCATCCACAATTGTCAAGAAATAGCGGCTGCCTGAGAGGGAAGGGGCTCTTGTGGGCCCCACCACATCCATATGCACAAGTGCAAGTGGGGTCTTGGCTGGTCCTGTAGTGCTGTTGAAGGGGAACTTGGAGAACTTGGTCTCCAAGCATGTAGGGCAGCTCCCAATCTCCTTCACTCCCCCTTTCACCTCCAAGCCCTTCAGGCTCCCATCCTTCACCAACTTCTGCAGCATAGGGAAGTTCACATGACACAGCCTCTCATGCCATGTCTCCCAATCGGCCTCTCCACTCCTTGGTGAAGCCTTAGCCCATGCCGCACTCGCATCCACACCAGCAAGCACCTCACCATGTGTCTGCTGCTTCTGCACTTTCTTGACTGCTTCCAGCACCCCATCAGTTGGTGCAGTTGCATCTCCTCCTGCTGTTGCCTTTGCCACTGCTGCCGTTGCTGCTGTTGGAGTCTTCCCATTCCAAGGGATGATGGGCAGCTGCCACAGGTCCTTGATGCAGCTGGTCTCCTCTTCCAGACTCCACAGCACCTTCTTCCCAAGCTTAGCACGGCAGCTGGTTGGTCCAAAGGTCACTTCGGCCTTACTCTTCTGCAGCCGCCGCACAGAGAGAAGGTTAGCAGACAAGCCTTTAACCAGCAGAACATTCCCAAGCCCCACAAGCTCCCCATTAGCTCCCTTAACCTTGGCATTCCCAACACCAATCACGGGGAGCAAAGCACCTGACGCTGCTGCCACATACTTAATCTTCCCAGGGGGTTTTACCTCATCAAGCAAATCTGCCCGTGGGGTCATGTGACTGGTGCAACCCGAATCAATCACCCAGTGCGTGAGAGGGTGCATCACAACCTTTCCCACAAATCCCACATCACCCTCATGCCCATGCACATCCTCAACCATAAGAAACAAACCAGGATAGGCATTACCTTGTGCACCTTCACCTTGTGCACCTGAGCCTTGCACAGCGCCACCTTGTGCGCGTTCACCACTGGGTGGCTTCATGCCTGGAGGTGCCCATCCCTCCGGCCTGCTGAAGCACTTGAACCAAGGATGCCCTATCTTCTTGCAGTACCAGCAGGTGCCCTCCATTCTGGTACTCCCCCTGCCACTAGAGCTCCCATGCCCCTCATTATAGTCACCTCGGCCTCTACCTCTGCCAAAGCTCCTCCCACGGCCTCGGCCTCTCCAACCCCCTCTTCCTCTGCCGCGCCCTGCAGCTCCATACCCCTCAGCAGTCTTAGTGGCAGCACCGCCTCCCACATGGCGTCTGCGGAAGTCCTCCTGCAGAATCTGCTGCCTTAGCCACTCAGGTGTCCATTGATCTTGTTGAGAGTTGAGGGTGGGGATGAGGTTGTCCCAAGAGTTGTCCAACACCGAGATGATCTTGGTGCACTGCTGCAGCTGAGATACACTGCTGCCCGCTGCTGCCATCCTTGCATAGGTGTCCTTGATCTTGTCAAGGACCGGCTTCACATCGTCCCCTGGTCGCATGGAGATGGCAGCAAGTTCCTTCTCGAGCACGATCACCATCGGGAGAGTGTTGGGCTGAACCACATCACGTAGTAGTTTCCACGCCCTTGGACCCGAATCATCCGCTTCCACAAGATCCTTGATGTGCTCGAACATCTCCTTGTTGACCGATTGAAGAATGAGGTCGAAAAGCACCGCGCTTTTCTCAATCCACCGTTCACGTGCTTCGCCTTCTTCCGGCATCTTCTCTTCCCCAACAGCAATCTTCAGGAGCTTGTAGCGTTTGAAGGCACTCCTCATCCGTCCGCTCCATTCCTCATAGTTGGAGCCATCCAAAGCTTCAACTTTTGATGGCGGCGGCTCACTTGTCTTCTCAGCTACAGCTCCTCTTCCATTAGCATCTCCTCCTCTCTCATTCATCTTCTCCTTGAGAAATGACGAATTTCAGCTCCCCTTTGCTGTCCACACTCAGCTCCCTCGATATTTTCACAAGTGTCGGCGTCCACGAAATTTCGGCAGAGTTTCCCCTTAGCGGAAGACACATCCAACCTTTAGAACACCACTTAGGCACACCCACAGGCCATGGTGGGTCTAGAAGGGTCTTCACACTTCTGTAGACTCCTCTCAATGTCCTTAATATCGCTCTGATACCACTTGTTAGATTAAGGACAGAGTCTAGGTGAACTTAGGAGCTAGAATTACTCAAAATATAAATCCGAAATTCTGGACAGAAAAGTCGTCTTCACAAGAAACGACGTCGACAAAACACTAGCCGTTGGAATGTCGCGAAACTTGGATATGTTGTAGCTCTTGATCTCAGCTACCGTTCCCAATTTGAATCACGTTGATTGATGAAGTATTCGCGACGCTATGGCTTTCGACGCACTAGGGGGTAAGCTGTAGGAGGAGAACTTAACTCAATCTCAAGAGGTTCAATCAAAGTTCAAGAATCTCACAAGGAATTAGAAGGAGCAAGAGAAAGGTTGGGATAGGAAGAGAGGGATGAGAGGGAAGGTCCCAAGAGAGTCCCCAACCAAGGAAAACCCCATAAGCACAAAGATTCCCTCCCTATAGGAACCCCAACTTTGACATTTGTCCCTTCCCAACCAATCCATCCAAGTTGGCCACCCTTGCCAACCTAGCTTGGTTGTTCCCAACCAATTTGCAGCTGTTACAGTAGAGTGACAAGTTTCCCCAACCCCAAAGGTCCCAACTCCATATAAAGTCACCCCACAACTTCACTTAGTAACCGCCGCAATTGTAACGCAAGCTCATGAACTTTGAATCTTCATAGCTTTCGCGTTCTTGCTCCGATTGAAGCGATTCTTGTTGCGTCGGAAAGATCTTCTCAAGATCTATTATCACAAATACCTGCTCAGACAGAATAACACAAAACACATTCCCAAACTCCAGAACACACCACACACAAATGCTTGCACATTCAAACCACACATGCAAGTTGAAAAAACATGGGATGGGAGGCAGACAGAATGTGATAGCATATGATGACATCACACAACAACCTCCTCATCAGCACATGGCTCCACAGTAAACCCTAAAGGTAGTGGTGTTGCTGGCTTTCCCCCATCTTGCAGCCCATACTTCTCAGCCAGCCCCTCACAGTACTTCCTTTGGTGCAACCTCAGCACACCCTTTTCCACATCTCTCTCCACATGCATCCCCAAGTAGTACTTCACCTCACCCATCTTGGAGCACTTGAACTGCATCTCCAGCATCTGCTCTGCGCTGTCCAGCAAAGCAGTTGATGCAGAGAAGAGAAGGATATCATTCACGTACACCAGGAGCATGAGGATTTCATCCTTCTCCTGCAGCAGGAACAGGCTGGGGTCACACTCACTCTTCTTAAAACCCCCAGCCAGCAGCGCCTCCTCCAACTTGTGATACCATGCACGAGGCGCCTGCTTAAGGCCATAGATGGCCTTCTTCAGCCTGCAGACCCTGCCGCTCCCGTCATCCAGCCCCTCTGGCTGCTTCATGTACACCTCCTCCATAATGATCCCATTCAGAAAGGCAGTCACAATATCCATCTGCCGAATCTTCCATCCCAGGAGTGCAGCTATCGCCAACAGCACCCTCAGTGTTGTTCCTTTCCCCACAGGAGCAAACACCTCATCATAGTCCTTCCCCTTTGTCTGCTGAAACCCCCGTGCCACAAGCCTAGACTTGTAGCGGATCAGCTCCCCTTCAGGTCCATACTTGTGCCTGTAGATCATCTTGGAAGTGATTGCCTTCTTTCCAGGAGGCAAGTCACACAGGTCCCATGTCTCGTTCTCAATTAGGGACCCGAACTCCTCATCCTCACTCGCCTTCCACTTCTCCCCATTTGGTCCATTCAAAGCCTCCTCTCGAGTCTTGGGCTCAGGGATTGGTGCCCAGTAGCAGTGAGCGATCTCATCTTCCTCAATCTGCTCAACCACACTCCCAGCCTGCACCACATTCGGCTTGCCTCTTCCCCCATAGGTTAGCCTCACCGGAGGGCGCACATCCCTCCTAGGTTGCTCAGGCGGGTGTGGAACGCGAGGTGGAGACTCATGTTGTTGCTGCTGCTGCTCCACTTCAGCTGCTCCCCCTTCTTCAGTCACCCCAGACATCTCCTCCTCAGACACTGCAACCTCCACTTGCCTTGAAGGCTGCTACAACTCATCTGCCTCCACAATCAGTGGTGTACATGGAAGCTTTTGTTGCTGCTGCTTCCATTCCTTGTAGTACAGGGACTCAAGAAACTTCACATCCCTTGACACTGTTAGCTTCTGGGTGGTCAAGTCCCATAGCAGCCATCCCTTGTGATCCTTTGCAATCCCTAAGTGCACACCCCATCTTCCAGAAGCCTCCAACTTCCCCCTTTTCTCCTTAGGCACATGAAACACCACCATGCACCCAAATGCCCTCAGCATGTTCACAGCTGGAGCACTCCCATACCACTTGGTATATGGGATCCACTCCTTCTCCCCAACTGTAGCCAGCACCCTATTCTTCACAAGGGTGACCTGCCTCAGTGCAGACACCCAAAACGGATCAGGCAGCCCTGCACGCCCAAGGAGAGTGCGTGCCCCCTCCTGCAGGGTCCTTTTGAACCTCTCAGCCACGCCATTCTGCTGCGGGTTGTAGGGCACTGTCAGTTGATGCTGGATCCCCTTCCTCTTCAACTCCCCCTCAAAATCAGCTCCAATGAACTCCCCACCATTGTCACTGCGGATCACCTTCACCTTGTGTCCGCATTCCCTCTGAGCTCTAGGCATCCACTCCTTAAGGACAGCCGCTGCCACCTCCCCTTGCTCTTCAAAGGGTAAACCCACACTGCCCGAGTGTGGTCATCCACAATTGTCAAGAAATAGCGGCTGCCTGAGAGGGAAAGGGCTCTTGTGGGCCCCACCACATCCATGTGCACAAGTGCAAGTGGGATCTTGGCTGGTCCTGTAGTGCTGTTGAAGGGGAACTTGGAGAACTTGGTCTCCAAGCATGTAGGGCAGCTCCCAATCTCCTTCACTCCCCCTTTCACCTCCAAGCCTTTCAGGCTCCCATCCTTCACCAACTTCTGCAGCATAGGGAAGTTCACATGACACAGCCTCTCATGCCATGTCTCCCAATTGGCCCCACCACTCCTAGATGAAGCCTTGGCCCATGCCGCGCTCCCATCCACACCAGCAAGCACCTCGCCAAGTGTCTTCCCAAGCAGAACATTCCCAAGCCCCACAAGTTCCCCATTAGCTCCCTTAACCTTGGCATTCCCAACACCAATGACAGGGAGCAAAGCACCTGACACTGCTGCCACATACTTAATCTTCCCAGGGGGTTTTACCTCATCAAGCAAATCTGCCCGTGGGGTCATGTGACTGGTGCAACCCGAATCAATCACCCAGTGCGTGAGAGGGTGCATCACAACCTTTCCCACATATCCCACATCACCCTCATGCCTATGCACATCCTCAACCATGAGAAACATCCCAGGATAGGTATTACCTTGTGCACCTTCACCTTGTGCACCTGAGCCTTGCACAGCGCCACCTTGTGCGCGTTCACCACTGGGCGGCTTCATGCCTGGAGGTGCCCATCCCTCCGGCCTGCTGAAGCACTTAAACCAAGGATGCCCGACCTTCTTGCAGTACCAGCAGGTGCCCTCGATTCTGGTACTCCCCTTGCCACTAGAGCTCCCATGCCCCTCATTATAGTCACCTCGGCCACTACCTCTGCCAAAGCTCCTCCCACGGCCTCGGCCTCTCCAACCCCCTCTTCCTCTGCCGCGCCCTGCAGCTCCATACCCCTCAGCAGTCTTAGTGGAAGCACCACCTCCCACATGGCGTCTGCGGAAGTCCTCCTGCAGAATCTGCTGCCTTAGCCACTCAGGTGTCCATTGATCTTGCTGAGAGTTGAGGGTGGGGATGAGCTTGTCCCAAGAGTTGTCCAACACCGAGATGATCTTGGTGCACTGCTGCAGCTGAGATACACTGCTGCCCGCTGCTGCCATCCTTGCATAGGTGTCCTTGATCTTGTCAAGGACCGGCTTCACATCGTCCCCTGGTCGCATGGAGATGGCAGCAAGTTCCTTCTCGAGCACGATCACCATCGGAAGAGTGTTGGGCTGAATCACATCGCGTAGTAGTTTCCACGCCCTTGGACCCGAATCATCCGCTTCCACAAGATCCTTGATGTGCTCGAACATCTCCTTGTTGACCGATTGAAGGATGAGGTCGAAAAGCACCGCGCTTTTCTCAATCCACCGTTCGCGTGCTTCGCCTTCTTCCGGCATCTTCTCTTTCCCAGCAGCAATCTTCAGGAGCTTGTAGCGTTTGAAGGCACTCCTCATCCGACCGCTCCTTTCCTCATAATTGGAGCCATCCAAAGCTTCAACTTTTGATGGCGGCGGCTCACTTGTCTTTTCAGGTACAGCTCCTCTCCCATTAGCATCTCCTCCTCTCTCATTCATCTTCTCCTTGAGAAATGACGAGTTTCAGCTCCCCTTTGCTGTCCACACTCAGCTCCCTCGATATTTTCACAAGTATCGGCGTCCACGAAATTTCGACAGAGTTTCCCCTTAGCGGAAGACACATCCAACCTTTAGAACACCACTTAGGCACACCCACAGGCCATGGTGGGTCTAGAAGGGTCTTCAAAACTTCTGTAGACTCCTCTCAATGTCCTTAATATCGCTCTGATACCACTTGTTAGGATTAAGGACGGAGTCTAGGTGAACTTAGGAGCTAGAATTACTCAAAATATAAATCCGAAATTCTGGACAGAAAAGTCGTCCTCACAAGAAACGACGTCGACAAAAATCTAGCCGTTGGAATGTCGCGAAACTTGGATATGTTGTAGCTCTTAAGCTCAGCTACCATTCCCAATTCAAACCACGTTGATTAATGAAGTATTCGCGACGCTATGGCTTTCGACGCACTAGGGGGTAAGCTGTAGGAGGAGAACTTAACTCAATCTCAAAAGTTTAATCAAAGTTCAAGAATCTCACAAGGAATTAGAGGAGCAAGAGAAAGGTTGGGATAGAAAGAGAGGGATGAGAGGGAAGGTCCCAAGAGAGTCCCCAACCAAGGAAACCCCATTATCACAAAGATTCCCCCCCTATAGGAACCCCAACTTTGACATTTGTCCCTTCCCAACCAATCCATCCAAGTTGGCCACCCTTGCCAACCTAGCTTGGTTGTTCCCAACCAATTTGCAGCTGTTACAGTAGAGTGACAAATTTCCCCAACCCCCAAAGGTCCCAACTCCATATAAAGTCACCCCACAACTTCACTTTGTAACCGCCGCAATTGTAACGCAAGCTCATGAACTTTGAATCTTCATAGCTTTCGCGTTCTTGCTCCGATTGAAGCGATTCTTGTTGCGTCGGAAAGATCTTCTCAAGATCTATCATCACAAATACCTGCTCAGACAGAATAACACAAAACACATTCCCAAACTCCAGAACACACCACACACAAATTCTTTCACACAGAGTCAAACCATACATACGAATTGAAACAAGAGATGGGAGGCAGACAGAATGTGATAGCATATGATGACATCACACAACAAGCTTCGCTTCGCTGCGCTTTGCTTCGCTTAGCTTCGCTTAGATTCGCTTTGCTTCACCTAGCTTCGCTATGCTTAGCTTCGCTTCGCTTCGCTTAGCTTCGTTTAGCTTCGCTTGGCTTTGCTTCAATTCTCTTCACTTAGCTTTGATTCGCTTAGCTTCGCTTAGATTGCTTCGCATCGCTTAGCTTCGCTTAGATTCGCTTACCTTCACTTCGCTTAGCTTAGATTTGCGTTGCTTCGCTCGCTTAGATTCGCTTAGCTTCGCTTAGCTTCACTTCGCTAAGCTTAGATTCTCTTTGCTTTGCTTCGCTTAGCTTCGCTGTGCTTCTCTTAGCTTCGCTTCTCTATGCTTTTCTTCGCTTCGCTTCGCTTCGCTTAGCTTCGCTTTGCTTCACTTAGCTTCGCTTCGCTTGTCTTCGCTTCTCTTCGCTTCGCTTAGCTTCGATTTGCTTCGCTTCCCTTAGCTTCGCTTAGCTTTGCTTAGCTTCGCTTTGCTTCGCATAGCTGCGCTTAGCTTTGCTTTGCTTCAATTAGCTTCGCTTCTCTTCGCTTCGCTTCTCTATTCTTCTCTTTGCTTCGCTTCGCCTAGCTTTGCTTAGCTTCGCCTTGCTTCGCTTAGATTCGCTTTGCTTCGCTTCCCTTAGCTTCGCTTCACTTCACATAGCTTCACTTAGCTTTGCTTCGCTTCTCTTCGCTTCTCTTCGCTTCGCTTCGCTTCCCTTAGCTTTGCTTAGCTTCGCCTTGCTTCACTTAGCTTCGCTTCGCTTCGCTTCCCTTCTCTTAGCTTCGCTTAGCTTCGCTTTGCTTGGCTTCGCTTCGCTTCGCTTCGCTTTGCATAGCTTCGTTTAGCTTCGCTTGGCTTTGTTTCGCTTCTCTTCGCTTAGCCTCGCTTGGCTTCGCTTCGCTTCTCTTCCCTTCGCTTCGCTTAGCATCGCTTAGCTTCGCTTCGCTTTGCTATGCTTCGCTTAGCTTTGCTTCGCTTTGCTTAGCTTCGCTAAACTTCGCTTTGCTTTGCTTAGCTTCGCTTTGCTTTGCTTCGCTTAGCTTCGTTTAGCTTCGCTTGGCTTTGCTTCGCTTCGCTTCGCTTGGCTTCGCTTGGCTTCTCTTCGCTTCTCTTTGCTTAGCTTCGCTTAGCTTCGCTTAACTTCGCGTTGCTTCACTTAGCTTCGCTATGCTTAGCTTCGCTTCGCTTCGCTTAGCTTTGCTTAGCTTCGTTTAGCTTTGCTTGGCTTTGCTTCGCTTCTCTTCGCTTAGCTTCGCTTAGCTTTGCTAAACCTTGCTTCGCTTCGCCTTGCTTCGCTTAGCTTCGCTTAGATTCGCTTTGCTTCACCTAGCTTCGCTATGCTTAGCTTCGCTTCTCTTCGCTTAGCTTCACTTCGCTTCGCTTAGCTTCGTTTAGCTTCGCTTGGCTTTGCTTCGCTCTTCTTCGCTTAGCTTCGCTTAGCTTTGCTTAGCTTCGCTTCGCTTCGCTTTGCTTCGCTTAGGTTCGCTTAGATTCGCTTCGCTTTGCTTCGCTTCGCTTAGCTTCCCTTAGCTTTCTTTGCTTCGGTTTGCTTCCATTAGCTTCACTTCGCTTCGCTTGGCTTCGCTTCGCTTCGCATAGCTGCGCTTAGCTTCGTTTTGCTTCTCTTAGCTTCGCTTCTCTCGCTACGCTTCTCTTTGCTTCTCTTCGCTTAGCTTCGCTTTGCTTCGCTTAGCTTCGCTTAGATTCGCTTAGCTTTGCTTCGCTTAGCTTCCCTTAACGTTGCTTTGCTTCGCTTAGCTTCGCTTTGCTTAGCTTCGCTTCGCTTCTTTTTGCTTAGCTTCGCTTAGCTTTGCTTAGATTCGCTTAACTTCGTTTAGCTTTGCTTCGCTTCGCTTTCCTTAGCTTCTGTTCGCTTCTCCTAGCTTCGCTTAGCTTTGCTTCGCTTCCCATAGCTGCGCTTAGATTCGCTTAGCTTCGCTTCGCTTAGGTTCGCTTAGCTTCGATTAGCTTCGCTTCGCTTCGCTTTGCTTCCCTTAGCTTCAGTTCGCTTAGCTTCACTTTGCTTTGCTTCGCTTCGCCTCGCTTCGCTTCGCATAGCTGCGCTTAGCTTCGTTTTTCTTCTCTTAGCTTCGCTTCTCTTCGCTACGCGTCTCTTTGCTTCTCTTCGCTTTGCTTCGCTTAGCTTCGCTTAGCTTCGCTTCGCTTCGCTCAGCTTTCTTTCGCTTCGCTTAGCTTTGCTTCGCTTAGCTTCCCTTAACTTTGCTTTGCTTCGCTTTGCTTAGCTTCGCTTAGCTTCGCATCGCTTTGCTTCGCTTCTCTTCGCTTAGCTTCACTTAGCTTCGCTTCGCTTCGCTTAGCTTCGCTTAGATTCGCTTAGCTTCGCTTCGCTTCGCATTGCTTTGCTTTGCTTCGCTTAGCTTCGCTTCGCTTCGCTTTCCTTAGCTTCCGTTCGCTTCTCTTAGCTTTGCTTTGCCTTGCTTCGCTTCGCATAGCTGCGCTTAGCTTAGCCTCCCTTAGCTTCAGTTCGCTTCCCTTAGCTTCACTTCGCTTCGCTTAGCTTTGCTTCGCTTCGCATAGCTGCGCTTAGCTTCGCTTCTCTTCGCTTCGCTTCTCTTTGCTACTGTTTGCTCTGCTTCGCTTCGCTTAGCTTTGCTTCGGTTAGCATCGCTTAGATTGCTTCGCTTCGCTTAGCTTCGCTTAGATTCGCTTAGCTTCACTTCGCTTAGCTTAGATTCGCTTTGCTTCGCTCGCTTAGATTCGCTTAGCTTCGCTTAGCTTCACTTCGCTTAGCTTAGATTCGCTTTGCTTTGCTTCGCTTAGCTTCGCTGTGCTTCTCTTAGCTTCGCTTCTCTATGCTTCTCTTCGCTTCGCTTCGCTTCGCTTAGCTTCGCTTTGCTTCACTTAGCTTCGCTTCGCTTTTCTTCGCTTCTCTTCGCTTCGCTTAGCTTCGATTTGCTTCGCTTCACTTAACTTTGCTTCGCTTCCCTTAGCTTCGGTTCGCTTCCCTTAGCTTCGCTTAGCTTTGCTTAGGTTCGCTTCACTTCGCATAGCTGCGCTTAGCTTTGCTTTGCTTCAATAAGCTTCGCTTCTCTTTGCTTCTCTTTGCTTCGCTTCGCCTAGCTTCGCTTTGCTTCGCTTAGATTCGCTTTGCTTCGCTTGCCTTAGCTTCGCTTCATTTCGCATAGCTTCGCTTAGCTTTGCTTCGCTTCTCTTAGCTTCTCTTCGCTTCGCTTCGCTTCCCTTAGCTTCGCTTAGCTTCACC